AAACACACCATTGTGAAGCTACCCAAACCAAGCTCCTCAGATATTAGCATTTTTCACTGCCACAGTGTATAAATTTTGTAAAGAATCAAACCTGGAGGCATTTCATAGCATTTAAGTGGTCTGCCTTTCTAAAAGGGTGCCCGCTGACAGCCATCCATGCACCAGCTGGCAGTAAAATTTGAGGTCAAACTACAACAGTACTGTGTCTGACTGTTTCCAGACCTCTGTTTTGGCCCCTATGCCCCAAGGAAGACAAACAACACAGTCTCAACATTGCACAGTTAAGAGCACACTCAGCCCCAGAAAACACACTGCGGAAGTTATTACACAGTGCATATTTAAGTGCACCATGTACTTTCTTCCATAAGAAAAACCAAAATCATAGAATCACAGAATCATTAAAGTTGGAAAAGACCAAGATCATCCAGTCCAACTGTTCACCTACCACCAATGCTGCCCACTAAACCATGCCTCTAAATACACCTCTACACATTTCTTGAACACCTCCAAGGACAGTGACTCCACCACATCCCTGCAGAGCTCATTCCAGATCCCGACCAATATAGTTTTGATAAGTGCTGATAGCAATATTACACCATTTTTTTTTCTCTAGCAAAAAAGTAATTAAAGAGCAAATAGAAGAGCCACTATTCTAATTCCCTGAATCAGCCTCTGATTGCGTGCTCTCTTGCTGCTGTTGCGCAGAGCAGTCTGATTTAAAAAAAGAACACTAAGAACTACTCAAATGTCAAAAGGAAAGCACCTAATTGCATCAAAACATACATGCTTGTACCTTCTTAGCATTCATACACTTCTCATCAGAGGTCTCTGGTGAAATTCCAGGTCAAACTGAAGGGTTGGATATACTGGACAGAAGGAAGCATGTTTACATAGTAGGTGAAGGGACTGAATCCAAGAAGAACAGAATATCCTTAAAATCCTTTGCAGATCTGGCCCACCCAGGGAGCAATTTCAATAGTGGAAACTGGATATTGCAGTAACATTTCCAGCAGTCAGCATCATTAGAAAATAATCAAAACATTTATGCTCTTGTATTTATAGCAGAAATGGTTTGGAGAGACCTTCAGATTTCAGAAGCCCATTAAACTTCTGCTACCGCAGGAATTGATTACTAAGATACCCCTTCCATCTCCACTTCTCACAGCCACAGTTTCTGCACTGGAAGCCGCCATCTGCTTGCAGCTTTTATTTTACCTTCCCTGAAAGCTTCTGGCGTGGCATCACAAGCTGCTGGAGCCAACAGCAGGCACAGCATGCTGGGAAGGCACTGAGTGCCAAGAGCCCTGCAGGACACCTGGGTTGCATCTTCGCCGTTACTCTCCCTAACAGAGGTCACACATGCAGACAGGCATGTGGTAGAGCTCTGGAATGCCCCACCTCAGGGACAAACTGTAATTCTGCTGGCCAGGAAGATAGGGTCATCATTTGGATGACAATTATTAGGCAAGATGCCTCTACAAGCAAACTGCAAAGAAAACCTAACCATGACACAAAAGGAAAAACTTCGGTACTTCACTAGAAGTTGAAAAGGACTAAAAAGGAGCAGAAAATCTAATTTTCCTCCTAAAAAAAATGAAGGGGCAGGTGAAGAGCAAGACAGACTCATTCAGCATGCAGCGAAGGCAACCCAGAAGCAGCTTAAGAAGAGTTTACTGCTAAGTCCCAGCCACCAGGAAGGGCTGTTCACACAATGGCACACTTTGTAGGGGAGAGGAGCTCAAAAAGGGGAGAGACAGCACGGGCTGTCCATTAACCTCACACATCCTTGACTCGAGTTGCTCAATGAGCACAGTGCTTCAGTGTGTTTGACTTTGCTACTTCATGAGGAGTGAAGAAGCAAATAAAAATAAATGAAATTAAGTCATATCTTTCCTTCCTGTGTGTGTTTTTCACTTTCTCTGTGCATTTTAGATCAAGGTGGTAACCTGCATTATACTTGTAAGCCAACTGCACCTTTCTTGAAAGAGCAAAAAGCATTTGACTCCAAGGTTTTGCGATCAAAGGGTGAGCACCAACCACATCTCCAGAAATTATGCACAGCACATATAGCCCATACTCATAGAATTACAGAATCATTTCAGTTGGAAGGGACCTCTAAAGGCCTTGTGGTCCAGCCCCCTGAAATGAACAGGGACACCTACAGCTCCATCAGGTGCTCACAGCCCCTCCAGTCTGACCTTGTCTGTCTCCACTGCATCTCTGGGCAACCTGTGCCAGTGCCTCACTAGCCTTGTTGTGAAACTCCTTCTTATGCCCCCCTAGATCTCTCTTTTAGTGTGAAACCATTTCTCCTTTCCTATCACAGCAGACTCTGCTAAAGACTCTGTTCCCTTCTTTGTCATAGCCCCTCTTTAGATACTCGTGCAGCTCTTCCCTCTTGCCAGTCTCTAATAGCTGCTCTTAGAAAATACCCAACCCAACACTTCTGAACTCCTTTTTTGCTCAAAGTTGGGAGCAAATTCCTGAGTACCTCAATCAAGTCACCAGTTTGACCCCCTGAAGTTCCCAGGGCAAGCCTATGAGGCACACGAAAGGTGCAGGTGAGCGTGCAGACAACTCTTTCTCTGAGGTTTCATTACCAGGAAACCTAACACTCCCTCACTGAAATTTTCATTTAAAGGAGATAACTGGGAGGAAAAAAAAAAAACCAAACAGACAATTAACATTTTATGATTGGCTATAAATGAATAACATTTTAACACATAACGTCCAATAGTCTGCACAGCACCATAATCACCCACTAACGATGGGAGAACTCACTGTGAAAATTAGCGCACCTCAACTGGCGGGGTGTTCATTTAATTTTTGGTGCCAGGAGAGAAGAGGGCAGGCAGAGGAAGAAAGGGAACACTTAGCTCCAGCTCGTGGAGCAGTAAAATCCCCGTCCCCCCCATGCCTGGCCGAGCACAAACAATGCACACCAGCCCAGCCCCACCGAAACCGCTGAATTGTAACTCGTGCTAGTTAGTTTAATTATTGCCCATACATTTCTTGAAAATGCCATTTGAAGCATCAGCTTCTAATTGGAGAAATGGCTCTGAGCGTGACCGTGGGGCTGTTACAAAGTCTGGTCACTTTCGCAGAAGGGCATGGCCCTTCCACAAAGCGGGTGGAAACCTCTCAAAGACACCCATTGTCCAAGAGGCAAAAACGGAGTGCAAGGAACACAGAAGGAAGTCTCATCCATGAACACAAATGGAGACTGGAAACTGAGGTGGAGCACCAGCAAGCCTTGCTTGGGAGGCACCAAAAAGCTGAAAATGGGAAAAAAAATCCGGCTTCCAGGATGACAAACACAACTGGGAGCAAATGGAAGGCGTGTCAAAGAAATGCTATTAAAATAATAACACTCATTAAAGACTTAAGTTACAAAAGCCTTGCAAAGTTACAAGAAAGCGGCAAGTCATTCTTACCCAAGACAGTGAATTTCATTCCAAGACCTATAGGATTATGGATGGGTTTCCTGGGGCTCTGAATCAGCAAACATAGCATGAGCTGGCTTTGGGGCTTTGTTCTTTCAAAGCCTATGTGGGTTCCTCATCCAATCTGAAGCCAAGGTACACCCCCCAGTTTCCTAACAGCCTGATAACTCTGACAACAGCAAAAACAGACAGCAGGTAGGCTGCTCTCATGTAACCCTTGGAATTACACTGCCCCAGAGGTGAGCATTAAAGCCAGGCACTGAGCACTTCACAGCTTGTATCCTCAAACCCCAAGCTGAAGGAGCTAGCTAAAGCAGTCCTCTGATGAGCTCCATGTCCCAGCTCAACTCTTCAACAGGGTCTATTGCTACTATTTGGATCTCTGGACATCAGACCCTCTCAAGAACTTGCTGGCCCAGATATACCTGCCACAAGCAACAGAGCACTCAGGTGGCACTCTTACTGCCACCAGTAAGAACTATCAACAGTGCCTACGGAGGAGCAGAAGCCAGACTCAGCCTGGGCTCACGGAGCACTTCAACACACAGGGCAGCAGGGGCCTGCCCAAGCCTCCACGTGCACACACGTGAGGAGGAGGTGCTCCCCTCCAACAGCAGCAGGAGGCTTAGGAAGCACTCAGCAAGCACTGCCCCACTTTCTCATGTGACCCTGAGGGTCAGTTTGGTTCCAGTGTAAAGAAGGTAGTGGAAAACCACAGCTCAGTTGTTCCCATCTCCCGCAATGCAGCCAAGAACAAACACGACAGGCAGGGCTCTAGCTCTGCTTCCATAGCTTTAATCAAACACCAAGAAGCATTTTCTGTTTTTAAAGTCAAACAAAAACATTTGGCTTTCTGTAAATCCACAGTGAAGGTAACCCCCAAGGAACAAGTATTACCCACACACTAGGGAGTTTACTTATTAACACCAACTCCCAGCAGAAGTGTATTTCCGTATTTCAGAGTGGGCTCCAGAGGACTGTTTGCATTCCTCTCCCAGCAATGCCAAGGTCAAAGCACAGCACTCTGTGCCTGACGAATGCCACCAGCGAGCAGGGATGGGATGGGGCACCCCAAAACCAAACCCCGAGTGCTGTGGGCCACAGAGCCCTCTTACAAACAGTGATAAAGCACAGAAAAACCTTTCTATCAATAGGACAGGATCTACCTCCTGTTCTGCAACGATGTAAAATGAGGGGGCTGCTGGTCCTGAGCCTCCGAGCGTCCCCCTCTGCACAGGAGATACAGCAGTTAGAGGGAAAAAGTGACAGTGAAAGGACTGAGAGCTGCACGGTAGCACGCCAGCATCCAGAAACAAGGCTCTGAGAAACACTGAGACCATTTGAGTTCTGCTCTCCACACGAGCTTTACCCGGTTAACTTTGCATCGGAGCATTTTTAAAGCTCTGAAAATCCCACTGGGAAGAGAACACCCCTATATCTGCGTCCCGCTCCAGCCGCCCAATGCACAGCGGGCAGGAGCTGTACGCGGGGACAGCGGCCGCAGCGGGTCGCTACGCGGGGGGGCCCCGTCCCGTCCCATCCCGTCGCGGCACGTACCTAGGCACTTGATGTGGAAGCCGCTGGGGGGTTTGAGGGAGCGGCGAGCCCAGCCCTGCCGCAGCACCTCCAGGTGCTCCTCCTTGCCCTGCACCAGCAGCACCTGCTCGTCGATCCAGCCCAGGAAGAAGGTCTCGGCCACCGCTGCCGTGGCCCGCTGGTCCCAGAAGTGCTGCATGTTCTCCCGCTTGAAGTCCGCGAAGATCTCGTAGCCGATGCGGTGCCGGCCCAGCTCCGCCGCTCCCCCCGGGCCCGCCGGCCGCCCCCCGGCCTCGGCGCCCAGGACGATGGCGAGAGAGTGCGGGGCGATCTGCAGGCACCGCTCGGCCCGGCGCGGCATGGCCACCCGGCATGCCCCGACGCCTCCCGCACCTCACCGCACTGCACCGCACCGCTCCGGGCTGCCCTAGCGCGGCCCCGGCACGGCTCGGACGCTCCGCCCCCGTACACCTCCGGCCCAGCCCCGTCCCGCCCCGCCCCGCCCTGCCACAGGGCTTTTTCCCGCCTCCTCCGGGCCGGAAAGCCTTCCGCGTCCCTCGCGGGGTGCTGGCCTGTTGTGTGACTTCGCACAACCCGTCCGCAGGACAATGGACTCGGCTCGGCTGGAGGTTTCGGTACCTCTGGGTAATGCCTGATGGTTTCTGGGCCATCCTCAACTCTGCTCTACTGTGTCCATGCACCCATCACCACCCATGATCTTCCCTCACTGGCTTGTGCTGTTCTCCAGCATCCCGAAGAGTGTTACAAGGAGACAAGTGTAGGAGCCAAGCTGCCAGCTAAAATAACTGTGTAGAACCTATTGCCCGATCTGTTGCCACCACCACCCTGCTGTGTGCGCCATGCCAGTGGCACTTTCTCTCCCATCACACCTCCATTCCAGTTCTCCTGGGCAAGGCTCACCCGCATGTGGCGCACATCTCACTGACATCCCACCGCGGAGCAGCCACCAGCTAGCTTCAGGCCTTGACTGGGCTTCCCTCTTCTTCCTATCTGCAAGAACTAAGGAGCCAAGTTACACCTTTGGACTTCTACAGTGTGCCAGGTGCATACAAGAGGAGGCCTTGCACTTGCACGGGCTTTCCATATCCTGTGGTGGAGCTGGGTGATGCTGGAACCTGAAGGTGAGTGCAGGGCTGTGACGGGCATGACAGGACTGTGTTTGGAACTAGTCCCAGCTCATAGGATGAGAAAAACGTGTAATAATGAGGTAGTAGAAGATGGTACACTGAACTATGTCCAAAATGTGCTGGATGGAGCACAGATCCAAATGGATCCAGTGCTTGGGGTGGGGTGTCCTTCCCATAACCACCCATGGGTGAATTGCCCTTCTAAGTGCCTCTCAAATGCTTGGAAATGCAGAAGTTTGCCTTGCTGGTGGGGCAAAACCCCTGGAGATCTCATCCTTGTGCTTCCACCCCAGCAAAGCACAGCCAGCATTGCCCTGGTGCACACCCAGTCGATGCAAACAGGTTTGGGCTTCTGGCTCTGCTGCAGGGGATGTGCAGGAAATAAAAGGGCCAGGAGACCTGGGAAAACACAGCAGCACTGCCACGTGAATGCTTGAAAGCAGTGGAGATTGTGAACAGCAATGGCAGCTTCTGAGAAAGGCGAGATGGTGGACAAGGCATCCTGATAGGTGTTTCTGAAAACTTTTCCCAAACTGTGGCAACCTTTGTTGGTGAAAAGAGTGCCGTGTTTTTTAGCTTGTATTTCATTAAGCCACTGATGTGCAACCAAGGGTTCACAAGGCAGCACTTTGTTTAGCTTTACCCTTTGGTTCTGGTAGCTTGTTTTTGTAACACGAGGGTGGTAATACTGCTCACATTTGTTAAATGCCTACAGACCTGCTCTTACAAATCCCTGCCAGGAAGTGTTCTTTGATGATCTCTGCCCTGGTAGGTGCCAGGAGTTTCTGTGCTGGGCCCTGCTCTGCCATCCTTCACCAACAGCCCTGCTCAGACGCCCTTGCTCAGGCAATGAAATCTCTGGGAGTCTCCCTCGTGAGGAGTGATGAGCCTCTTTCAGCTCAGACATTAAAACTACAGGCAGCACAGGAAGCAGCTGACTGCTGAGCTTTAAGCTTCACAATTCTGCCTGACTCAGCCATGCTGGCACTGGGAAGGATGTGGGGGAAATAGCACGTGGTGGGATACAAGGAGAGGGGAGTGGAGATTCTCAGCTGTGGCAGCAGTGCCACCTTCTTCCAGGATACTTTTGGCAACAGGATTGAGATTTGGCAAGGGGGTGAATACTGTTTGGGTACGTGAGCAGATAGGGTTCAATTAGCTATTGTCTGCTTAACAATAGATCATGTAGACTGGGGAAGTGAAATCACCTCCCAGCAGACAGGGAGAACAGGTCCTCACTGCTCCCAGGGTGAGAATAATCAAGGGCTGGGGCTGTCACCTCCAGCCCAGGTCAGGATAGGGCACCAAAACTCAGGGATTCGAAGGCCTTTTAATTTCATTTATTTGTGAAGTTGCAAAGAGGGAAATAAATTGCAGGCCAGTGACAGGGTTTTGTTTCAGTCTATGCAGCTCTGCAGCCATACAGGATTCTGTATTTGCAGGTAATATGCCATTTTATTTATGAAAATGTCACACCTAAAACATCTGCTCATTTTGGCATCTCCTTGTCCAAGCTACCACGTGGTGCAGCAGAGGTGCGCCCTGCACCCAGCGGCTCACACTTTGCCAAGTGTCTGGCTCCGAGGCAGCACGGGGGAGCTCAGAGGGTCTCTTCTCAGCCAGGCATTTTAACCTGAGGTTGCTCTGCTTTTATTAGAGGCCTGAGGACACAGGAGCTCCATGGACACTTGGCATGCCCTTTTTTGCTTGGCAGCACTTCCAATTGGATTCAGCAGGACTGTGGAGAGGGAGCAGCACTAGTGGTGCTGGTTTTAGGTAAAAGTCCTTTGAGAATTTGCCTTGCCTTTAAGCAGGCAGGCACTCATGCAAAGAAATATATTAAATCAGGATACCTGTGCTGAGACATTCCTGATTTCCCTGCTGGCCCTCAGGATCTAGCTTTAACTAGCAGCTGGCACGTTCTACTTTCTGTGTGGTGATCGACTGACTATGACTCAGGTCAGAAAACATGAACCCTGCTCACAGCCTTCCTCTGGGCACCCCAAAACCAGAGCTGTCTTCTTCCATGCTCCTGAGCTTTGTAGGAGGAGGATTTCTGCACTTGAGCAAGGAAAAAATGCCTGTGGTAAGGAGAACCAACCACCCCCATCACATTAGCTCTTAGATGAAGGCTGCACATAGCAAAGGACATTGAACTCACAAAGTGGTAGCAGTAGTTCAAGGTCCATGTGAGCTGCTATCTCAGACCTCAGTTCACTATTCCCAGCCCAACTAGTGACACCCTACCAGCACATGTTTAACAAAAGTGCATCTTCTCTTCGTGAGTACCAATATCTGGTGTTTCTTCACTTGCCACGGGTGCTTCTGGGAATAACAACAAAGCTCTGAGAAAGAGAAAAGAATCCCTATGAGAATAATTCCTTTTTAAAGGAAAAAATGTCATTTCAGTACTCTTCTCTTTTCATTTGCCTTACCCTCACCCTCAGTGAACTAGCATAGTCAAGGCCATGCTTGGTTTACAAATGGGAAAATAATAGGTACCTTACAGCTGCAATAGACAATTATTTCTTTTAAAATAGGCTGTGGGCCTTGGAAATGGGTGATGGTTCCCCACGCAAGCCATCCTCTTTTGCTCTCATAGCTGGTGAGGGGCACCAGAGAGCCCAGCGAGCATCAGCCATGGGCCTTACAGCGCCGTGGTCTGTGAACAGCAGGATGTGACCTGTGGGTCATGCCAAGACCTGCAGCACTCTGCCTGCACTGGGAATCGCTGCCTCTCGTGGGTATTTGCTGCAGCCATCCTGCTGCTCTCCTGGCTCCTCCCTTTGCCTCAGCTTGTCAGGATGAGACAGTTTAACCAATGACCCCAGTTGTCATCAATCTCAATATTAAGCGCAAGGTAATGCAGACAACTCTCTGCTCTGTGGAGACAGGTGATTATGAAGTATTTGTGAAACCATTTCAGCTAAAGAAGATGGACAGCTCTATTTTGTGCCTTGTATTGCCTGACAGGTGAGGGCACACCCTAGGATAACTCCTTGTCATCCCACTCCAAGGTCAAGAGCCTACATTTGACAGAGAAAAACGCCTTTGGCACTCCAAGAGAAAAGTGAACACATAGCAGCATTCAGGGTAAAAAAAATTAAAATCTTTGAAATCTTTGTACCAGGTGTGCCAGATTTCAAATTTCTTAGAGCTTAATGCCTTTTAAATTTTGTAGTTTCTCTTTGAAGATTTTCCACAGACTCAGCACCATGCTAAACCAGAAAGTTCAGCTTTTTTTCTTCCTGGAACAATAGCCATTAAGGGATTTTCTTTTAATGCATCTCAGGCACAGTGAGCAGCACCACAGCACGATCAACATTCATAACATCTCTTCCCACTGCTTGGCTTGCTAATGGACGTTCACCCCAATGCTTAGTTTCTTTTCAGTGCTCCTCTTTTCTGCTTCCCTCCCTGCCTGGCACCAGCCAGCAACCTCTCACCTTTCCCTCACACTTTTCTGTACTCCCTACCTGGCCCTGTTAGGATGCAGAGTTGGCTTAAGTGGAAATTTTGCCAAGAGTTCATAGCTTTCCCCACTACATGCAGCACCAAGGAATTTCTGAGCTCTCCTGGGTTAGTTTCTGAGTAAATTCTGACAGCTGCTTCACTAGCAAATGAGAAACCCGGGGAAAATATTTTTTCCAGAGAGGGTGGCAAAGATGCAACCCTTGTACATCAAATTTCTCTTGGTTTTTACAGAAGTGAGATTGTCTATTTGATTATAAAAATGAAAGCATTGCTACTTCATTTTAGTGGGTGATAACAGCCAAGAATCAGATAATTTCTTTCCAAGGAATAGACAAGAATGGGCAATTATTACCATGAGAGTATACATGGGAGGAGTTATGCCAGGGCACAGGGTAGAGTTAGAGTTTTCCTTCTTTTTACTGTAGGAAATCCTGCTAGTTACAGAACCTATGAGGTAGCTTTTGTACTTTTTTTCTTCCTGGAGCTGAAAGAACTCATTCAGAGATGCTGTGATTATTAATGATGTTAAAACCATGCTTGATGTAGCCATTCCTTTTTGAGACCATTCCACTGTTACTTTCAAGAGATGCTACAGCTTCAGGTTGTTCATGTTGGCATGGACTGGAAGAAGGCATGAGTTTATTGAAATAGACAGGAAGGAAGAGACCTCCTCCCAGAAATAAAACAACAGAGGAAACTCAAGGGATCCAGTAGAGCCAACAAATATAACTAAGACCTT